GAGTCTTAGAACATAGCGTCCACGGAGTCTTGGGACATGGCGCCCAGGGAGCCTTAGGACATGGTGATGGGCACGGAGCCTTAGGGCATGATGTCAAAGGAGCCTTTGAGTATGGTGATGGCCACGGAGCCTTAGGGCATGATGTCCATGGAGCCCTTGGGCATGGTGTCCACGGAGCCTTAGGACATGGTGTCCACGGAGCCTTAGGACATGGACACGAACACAACTGTGGGTTCGCTTGTGGTATTGGCTTCCCGCGCGAGGTCTTTCTCCGACTCAGCGGGTTCGGACACACCGACCACAGTAAGATCTATACACACTTTTTCCCTGACAAGTTGTCTGTAGCATTGAGCATGTACTTGAGATCTACTGAATAACTTTGTGAGATATCAGCCAGTCACAAGCTAAACATTTCAATTCATGAAATAACTATTTTGCCTTCCTGTGGGTCGCTAAACCTAGCTTCACGAGTTGCATCATTTCGCTTAATACGAACATTGAAACTGTTCCGTTTATGACGAATAGTAGTACAGTATTATTGTTTATGCTGTGATGAAATACTATGTGTTTATACTAACTAAAAAATAACTTTTCTACATTTCAGGTAACCTGTGATACAAGATTTTTTTTAATTCTAATGAACAAATATCTGTATATGTTGAATAAAGTTTTATATATATATATATATTATCAATAATTGTTTTATCCTTTTAATTCCTACGAATGTTATAACTGAGGAAAACGCAGTAAGAGCTGATACAAATTTAGAACTCTATAGCTTATCTACTCTGGAAAATAAATAGAAAACAAAAACAGTAGCTTCTGCTTGTCCCCATGTGAATCTACATATCTAGAAGAAGGCCATTGTTATAGCTGCCTAGAAAAAAAGACACGACCACCGAGTGCTGTCGGATGTTGGGTACATAAGTTTCACGACTTCCAACATTTTTGTACAGTCAGTGTGGTCAAGCGGTTAAGGAACCAGATACGCCAAAGTGCACAGTGCCCCTGGCTGTCTGGGTTCGATTCCTTCTGTGGTGTGGAGTTTATACGTCTTAACTATTTTTTGATTTAGGGCTTCTATCCCTCTTACTAGTGCTCTTGCATCAGGTTTCAGCTGGAAGAGGAATTCACCAAAAGTCATTCGTTTTCAAGGTGAAGAAAAAGAATTGAATAACTGAAGAATGTTTGATAGCCTGGTGCTCCAAACATGCTAGCGTATCCACTACATTATCCACTTGACCATTGCAGACTTTACAAAAGTTGTTGATAATCGAGGCTATTTGACCAACTTATATATATATATATATATATATATATATATATATATATATATATATATATATATATATATATATATATATATATATATATATACACATATATATTGTGATGATAATCTCTTTCAAGTGAGATTTGGCCTGCTCTTTCCTACATCATGTTACTTCAGTACGTCTATAACATCAAAATGCTACATTCAAGAGTAGTATATATTTAATAGAATACGTTTCTACAGGGGGTATACGTACCCTACACTCGCTCTCCAAACCCCCCCTCCCTTCGCTGTCGGATTGCAGAACCCTCGTCGATCACCAAACTACCACTTCCAGCCAGCACGCTTCCCATTGGTGAATCAGCGACTCCACTCGACTTCAGCGCCATCTGCATAGCCTATGACTAAGCGTGCACGAGCAGTTGGCTTGAGAATATTCTGTGCTCTCAAGGCTGATACTTCTATCTAGCATACGCTGTGTGCATTAGTGGAGGTTTTCAGCCAGCCAATATTCTCAGCACCTTTAACTCATTTTTTGTCTTGTACATTGTAAAGTAACGTAACCATTATATTATTTTATATTGTGTTTTGTCTTTGTATTTATGTTTAATTCGCACTGTACATAACCAAGGGATTATCTTTGTTTATATTTATTTAAAGTCAATTAAAGTTTCATTCTTTATACGATTTGTTTTGCGTGTTTTCCCCTTTTACTTGAACACAGGAGGCAACAGCCAAGCAGTCAACTTTTTTCTCTCTTTTTTTTTACTAATGTGATTGGCATTGACACCAGCCATTGGGAGGACTGCCTTACACCTACATTTTCCCATCACAATATATATATATATATATATATATATATATATATATATATATATATATATATATATATATATATATATATATATATATAATTTATTTATTTTTTTTTTAATATTATAATAAGGAAGGGAGTACCACCTCTAGCTGGAAGAAGGGGGACCCATAGCCTCGGAGGAAACCACGCATAACGCATTAGAGGGAATGTTTAGATCCCCTCCAATACAGTTTCTGTGTGCTTTTCTCCTACCACCCCCTTCCTTTTTTATTTTTTTGTGCTTTATTACGTATTTGATGGTTACAAGATATACATGGGTTGATACAAAAATAATAATGCAAAAAGGTGCTTAAAGGTTATGGATCTCTTGAAAAACACGACAATGGGAAACATTGATGAATGTCACAGACGGGTACGATCATTGTTGCAAGTCAAACACTTCTTCGAATTCCTCTGAAGTTAGACTAGTGCCCAAGACGCAACAGGCATTTCCCCTCTGAATCGCAACACTGAGGCGCTGGAACAAGAAACTTTTTGCTCTCTGGTCTTTTGTAGCACTGATCAATTTGTCCCCCAATTCCTTCAGGAACTTCAATGCACATTTTCCCCACGAACCGAGGGTCTCCGAGCCGATCGGAACAAAGCTGTAGCAGTGTGCTAGACCTCTGTATTTAATAATTTTCTGCGATTCCCTGAAAGAAGCAGCACCACCGCTTTCACGTGTGCTGTAGTGGAGGTAGGTACTGGCCAGTGTGGCAGCGCACGTGTAGTCTCATACCACTTGCTTACCATCCTTCCAAGGTAGCAAGGTGACCCCATCTGGGCGCTTCTGAGGGTCGTTAGGTCTGGATAAGTGTGGTTCTCATTGTGCCGGGCAGCGGGCTGTGGCGAGGCTCCTCTTGATGATGTCGTTGACTTCTTCATGTCTTGCAATTTTACCCTGTGATTTACGACATACCAGACCATGACGACCATATTGGTCTGCCATCGCAGTTCCGCAGATGCACCTATGTTCGGTGAGGATGGGGGCGGCAAGGCGAAGGGCAACTGTTTCTGGTATATGTAAATGATCTCCCAGAGGGTATAGACTCGTTTCTCTGAATGTTTGCTGATGATGCAAAAATTATGAGGAGGATTGAAACAGAGGATGATAGTAGGAGGCTACAAGATGACCTAGACAGATTGAGTGAATGGTCCAACAAATGGCTGTGGAAGTTCAACCCGAGTAAATGCAAAGTAATGAAACTAGGCAGTGGAAACAGGAGGCCAGACACAGGATACAGAATAGGAGGTGAAGTACTTAATGAAACGGACAGAGAGAAAGATCTAGGAGTTGATATCACACCAAACCTATCTGCTGAAGCCCACATAAAAAGAATAACGTCTGCGGCATATGCGAGGCTGGATAACATCAGAACAGCGTTCAGGAACCTGTGTAAGGAATCATTCAGAATCTTGTACACCACATATGTAAGACCAATCCTGGAGTATGCGGCCCCAGCATGGAGCCCGTACATTGTCAAGCACAAGACAAAGCTGGAAAAAGTCCAAAGGTATGCCACTAGACTAGTCCCAGAACTAAGAGGCATGAGTTGCGAGGAAAGGCTGCGGGAAATGCACCTTACGACACTAGAAGACAGAAGAGTAAGGGAAGACATGATCACAACCTACAAAATCCTCAGGGGAATCGACCGGGTAAACAAGGATGAACTATTCAACACTGGTGGTACGCGAACAAGGGGACACAGGTGGAAACTGAGTACCCACATGAGCAACAGGGACCTTAGAAGGAACTTTTTCAGTGTCAGAGTAGTTAACGGATGGAATGCACTAGGCAGTGATGTGGTGGAGGCTGACTCCATACACAGTTTCAAATGTAGATATGATAGAGCCCAGTAGGCTCAGGAATCTGTACACCAGTTGATTGACAGTTGAGAGGCGGGACCAAAGAGCCAAAGCTCAACCCCCACAAGCACAATTAGGTGAGTACACACACACACACACACACACAAAGAGTGCTGGGAAGACGGGACACCACGAGTGTTGCTCTCATCCTGTAACTACACTTAGGTAATTACACACACGCACACACACCTTTCTCCCCCAACAGAACTCTTCTTTAATTTCCTCCAATAATAATTGCCTCCTCACGTAACCTGCGAAGAGGTTGCAAGACGTGGTAAACGCTGTTATAGGTGAATGGGGGAAAGGGGTAGAAGGTATAATGTGTATATATATACAAGTGTGTATGTGTGCAGAGGTGCAGTATACCAGAGTCAGCTCAGGAGCCTCCAGTCCTCAACTGGAAGCTGCAACATGACATCACAGAGTGTTAGTACAGTCAAATGTAGTTAATGTCTTAATCGCCCTGTTGGACTAAAGGCCTATCAACCTCACGGAGGGTAATTAAGGCCACAATAGCTTCCTAAAGAACCGACAAGTTTACCGTAGTCAGGAAAATGGTCCAGGACTAAAGTATACCCCCTAGTATACAGCGAAGCCTCCCCAGTATACAGCGAAGCCACCCCAGTATACAGCGAAGCCCCCCCTCCCCCCTCTTTGGTCTTGATGCTCCCGAAGCCTTTTGTGAAGGTTTGGGACTACTCAGAGACCCGTCACAGGTCTTCAGTGTCGTAGAGGCTGGATGTGATGAGACGCTGTGAAGCAGTTAATTCACCCTTCTTCCCACTCGGTGCCAGGCCTTCTCTTGAATTTTACATTCAAACTTTATATAAAACTGTGGATAGGAATAATTAATAAGAAGTATTAGTGGTACTAGACGTAGCAGCAGTTGTAGTAGAAGTAGATGTAGCAGTAGTAGAAGTAGCATAAAACTAGTAGCCATATTATTACATTATTAATAAAATAACTTGTTTTCAGATGATGTGCGTACTGGGGTGTGTGTGTCTGATGACGGCTAGTCTTGGACACCCTCTGTCTGACTCTGGGGGTAGTGATGAACACGCACGCAGCCCAGGAGGTGCTCAGCGGCACGGATCAGGGGCTCAGAAGCACGGATCAGGTGCTCAGAGCCACGGATCAGGTGCTCGGAGCCACGGATCAGGTGCTCAGAGCCACGGATCAGGTGCTCAGAAGCACGGAGGTGGACAAAGCCACGGATCAGGGGCTCAGAGCCACGGAGGTGGACAAAGCCACGGTGGTAGTCAAAGCCGGGGAGATGATCACGGTGGATATGGCGGTGGTAAGAGCTATGGATACAGTGTTAGCTACATTGGTGGATATGGTAATGGCGGAGGACATTCTGTTGGTGGCACTGGTGGTGGATATGGCCATAGCAGTGGGTACGGCCACAGTGGTGGATATGGCCACAGTGGTGGATATGGCCACAGTGGTGGATATGGCCACAGTGGTGGATATGGCCACAGTGGTGGATATGGCCACAGTGGTGGATATGGCCACAGTGGTGGATATGGCCACGGTGGTGGAAATAGCCACAGTGGTGGATATGGCCACGGTGGTGGATATGACGATAGCAGTGAATATGGCGATAGCAACGAGTATGGCCATAGCAGTGGATATGGCCACGGTAGTGGATATGGCCACAGTGGTGGATATGGCCACAGTGGTGGATATGGCCACGGTGGTGGGAATGGCCACGGTCATGGCAGCGATCTTGGTGGCGGATTTGGACTTGGCCACGACGGCGGATTTGGTCTTGGCCACGACGGCGGATTTGGCCAAGACTGTGGATTCGCTTGTGGAAACGGATTCTCTTTTGGTGGCCTTGGATTCGGTGGATTCGGCCTAAGAAGTGAATATGGACGCAATGGTAAGTTTTTAATTGAAACGTCGATATCTTAATTATATATTATATATATATATATATATATATATATATATATATATATATATATATATATATATATATATATATATATATATATATATATATATATATATATATATATATATATATGTCGTACCTAGTAGCCAGAACGCACTTCTCGGCCTACTATTCAAGGCCCGATTTGCCTAATAAGCCAAGTTTTCCTGAATTAATATATTTTCTCTGATTTTTTTCTTATGAAATGATAAAGCTACGCATTTCATTATGTATGAGGTCAATTTTTTTTTATTGGAGTTAAAATTAGCGTAGATATATGACCGAACCTAACCAACCCTACCTAACCTAACCTAACCTATCTTTATAGGTTAGGTTGGGTTAGGTAGCCGAAAAAGTTAGGTTCGGTTAGGTTAGGTAGGTTAGATAGTCGAAAAACAATTAATTCATGAAAACTTAGCTTATTAGGCAAATCGGGCCTTGCATAGTAGACTGAGAAGTGAGTTCTGGCTACTATGTACGACATATATATATATATATATATATATATATATATATATATATATATATATATATATATATATATATATATATATATATATATATATATATATAACAATGTCAGACCACGGAGGAAAAAATGAAACAGGAAATTTCCTTAAGTACTTTCGTATATTAAATACATCTTCAGAAGGTGAAGATGTATTTACCTTCTGAAGATGTATTTAATATACGAAAGTACTTAAGGAAATTTCCTGTTTCATTTTTTCCTCCGTGGTCTGACATTGTTATATATATATATATATATATATATATATATATATATATATATATATATATATATATATATATATATATATATATATATATATATATATATATATATATATATATATTTTATCATGCAACAACGATCACAAAAACACTAATCCAAGTATGCGGAAAAACCACATGTGAAAAATAGAGAATGGTAAACGCGTTTTCGGCTTTATTCGCCTATATCAGAGCAAAGTAAAATAAGTCTACTATGCTCTGATAAAGGCGAATTAATGCGAAAACGCGTTTACCATTCTCTATTTTTCACATGTGGTTTTTCCGCATATATTATCATACTTAAATATTTAATTTATTTAACATTTGTTTTATATTATATTTCGGAAATCGGAGATTGGAATTGCATAGCAGAAAACGAACCCTTGACTCTTTACAAAATAACGCATAAATTAATTATTTTTTTACAGCTCTAGGGACCAAGGAAAGTCCAGAGGGAAAACTGGGAAGCAAACGCCTCACAGATAAATTGAAAAGTAAATAAATAAATAAATTGTTATGCGCCAAATAAATCGCTTTTTTTATATTGTGTTTTACTCTCATATCATATATTATTTATTCTTTTAATTAATGAATAAAACAAGAGGTATAAATACACACTAAGAAGTTTATCTTGCTATTTATAATATAATTTTATGTCTGTATTAGATAATTTTCAGGACTAAAGTGCACTTATTGGTTGATGGGAAAGGTGTTGTGGCCCACTTGATGACACATCAGATTGTTGAAAGACCTGAAGCTCAATACCAAGCGAAACTTAATTAATTTATATGTGTATATAAACTGAGAATTTACCATTAATCTAGACTATGTTCACAGCTAAAGTGTACTTGGGAACTGGTCATTACACTAGTCTCCACTAGTTAGATGGCTAGTTAGTTCACTAGTTAGTCCACTAGTGTACTTAACAAAAGCATGCTAGTAGAGTATACTTGTTTGGCTTAAGGCCTGTCTAGCACACCATGTGCGTTTGAGAGGCATTAAGCCAAACACCCCCAAAAAAAGTACCTACGGGCTCACCATAGCCTGTGCTACTTGGAACTTTGTTCCAGGTAGCGAATCTTTAACAACAACAACAACCAAACACCCCAATCTTTTCCGAGACTTCAACGGGGTTGGCACCTTCAGTTCATCCCTGGAACTACATCTAGGCGAGTACAGCGTTAATCGTCCATCTTGCCTTCTAATCGTGAGCTTTCACCAATCACGTTTCCAATCACGTTTCCAATATCTTTCAGATCGTCTATTTTAGCGAACTGTGTAGATTTTCACTTTTTATCAATTATATATTTTTTGCTTTTTGTTAGAGATGTGGAGAAGGTATCCAGTTCTGAGGGCGTCTATTGATATTTTTGTCGGAACTTGCTCTAGCCTCCCCCCCCCTCTCTCACTCTGTCTCTGTCTCTCTCTGTCTCTCTCTCTCTCTCTCTCTCTCTCTCTCTCTCTCTCTCTCTCTCTCTCTCTCTCAGAAAAGGTGTGACTGGACATAGTAAGTCAACACTTGATGACTGTCCACACTTACCACAGCAATTAACTAAGTGCTGTGAAGGCTAGTAATTACACTCACGTGAGTAATTGAGTGTCGTTTCCAATGAAGTGAAAGTCACACACACACACACACACACACACACACACACACACACACACACACACACACACACACACACACACACACACACACACACACACACACACACACACACACACACACACACACACACACACACACACACACACACACACACACACACACACACACACACACACACACACACACACACGCATTACGGGGCCTGGTGGATAGCGCGCAGGACTCGTTATTCTGTAGCGCGTGTTCGATTCCCGCACCAGGCAGAAACAAATGGGTAAAGTTTCTTTCACCCTGAATGCCCCTGTTACCTAGCAGTAAATAGGTACCTGGGAGTTAGTCAGCTGTCACGGGCTGTTTCCTGGTGTGTGTGTGTATGTGTGTGGTGTGGGAAAAAATAAAGAGAAAAAAAGTAGTTAGTAAACAGTTGATTGACAGTTGAGAGGCGGGACGAAAGAGCAAAGCTCAACCCCCGCAAACACAACTAGGTGAATACAACTAGGTGAATACACACACACACATACACACACACACACACACACACACACACACAATACAAAGCAGACGAGGAAAGAAGCGACGAAACCTGCGAGAGACCACAAGGAGACCTGGATGCTCTCCAGCATTGTTCAGAGAAATGGTTGCTAGACTTCAAGCCGAACAAACGCAAAGTGATGAAGAGAGGAGTTCTGAAACTCTACATAGGCTGCTCTAATTGTTATATTTGTATGGTCGACTGTTAATATGAACTTAAAATATTATGATAAGTGCGTGGGGGTGTTTTAAGCTACAATTTTACAACTCTACGACTAGGTGTAAGCTTGTTCAATCTAATTTCATTTCTTTATTATGCACCCCATACCCATCCCGTGGGCGGTGGTGGAAAGGGTTACAGAGGCACCTAATGGGTTTAGGAACTGAGTCCCATTGTTAGTTTACCTAAGCAAGTGACAATCTTGCGAAGCTAGTTCCACAATTGTTAATATAACCTACACATGCACATTGGCAGTGTAATGCAACGCTTAAATCACGTTCATTGATCTCAACCACCCGCCAAACACACACCGAAACTACGACGTTGGTACTATGATCGAACAAGTTTTAACACCTCCTAACCAGTTATAACAACCAATATAGCAAGTTGTAACAACGTTCTAATACGTCATAAACACGTTAAGCCAAGATGTATCAACTTTATTACAAGTTGTAACAAGCGGAAAATAGAGACAGTTACGGTTTGTGTTTCCAGGGCAGGACGAGTTCAATTTGTTCCACCACCAGGCTGAACTATGGGGATCAGTTCCTGAACGGATTGTGTGCCTCTGTAACCCTTTCCACCACTGCCCACGGGATGGGTATGGGGTGCATCATAAAGAAAGAAATTGAATTGAATCAGGCTGCCAGTCCACGATAAAATGAATTAATTATTATTAATATATTTAAGCTGTCCGTATTAATATAGTCCTTTAAGAAACTAGTCCGTTTACACAATAATTTGTTGATAGTATATCCCCAGGCACAACCCCGGCTGCCATTTTTTCTAAACAAAAACTGTTTAGTTTTCCGGCTGTGACGCCGCCAGCGGCCTCAGGCGTGACCGGAACTGATTCACGCGCATTCTGGAGTGTTGTTCAGCTGGGAAAATTGTATTTTGCTAGTCTTAATTATGATAATTTACATGATTTTTTACATTATAATTGTTATTATTATTTGTATTATTATTATTAATAGTAGTAGTGGTAGCTAAAGTACCTGTAGAAGAAGTAGTAGTAGTAGCAACCAGATGTTAGGAACACCTAAAACTTCAGCATTTGTATAGTGTTTTATTTTAATCACCGAATTCCGCACTCTCTTACGACCTATCTGCAACGTCGCCTATTGCACAGCGTGATGCAACATACAGGCATGAGAAGCGTGTATCATTTGCACTTCAACTGTCACAGAAAACGGTTGATAGTTCCCGTGGCGGAAAGGTTTAATAGAGGAAGCGTTCGGTGGGTCGTTAACTTGGCGCCACAGTGCGGAGACACTGTTATTGTGAGCAGCGAGCGCACTAGTACGTAGCAATCGCTGTCATCTGACGTATTTCTGAATGGCATGACACCATTCTTTTCGGCAAGAAAGGAAGAGATGTATCGATGATTTATTCCCCTGAAAGTTTTGAACGGGAGTCCCTCTGTTGCGAGCGCCTCGGGCAGGTATATCTCTGAGACGCTCACAACGCAATATATCACCTGCTATAGCATCAGGTGATATATTGCGTCGGTCCCGTCCTCTCGAATTTGACGTATAATTCCACAATGGCCAAAAAACCGATATGCCAGTTAACTATCCACGTCAAAAAGTTATAACCCTGCTCCTGTGTCAGTTAAGTCCATTACGGGCTCACCATAGCCCGTGCTACTTGGAACTTGTGTTCAGAGTAGCTGAATCTAAAACAACAACAACATACCAAAAACCTTAGCGACTCGCAACATTGACGTGATGTCCCGTTTTCTATTTGTGGGCCCTCGGTTAGGTTAGGTTCGGCCAATTTATCACATCTGTTCAGTGACATTGTGAACGAACGAGAGGACGGGCTGGAATGTGAACGTTCGGAACAGCGGTGAATATATAAAAGCATGTAACAGTGGTCAATGGGAAATTATAATGAGTTATGATCACTATTTTCAACATCGCGCGCCATATATTCCTTACAGTCTTACACCAAATCCTCCACATGATATATTGCGTAGGGAAGATATTACAGTATATTTTTTTTAAATCATGATATCCTCTTGATACAGTTCTTTAACTTCCTTGTTCGTATCTGAATTATGTGTTGTTATAAATTCAAAGCAAGAATATGGTTCTAACAAAATAATCTTCTCAGAGAATAAATTTCCTTCAGACGACTGTAGCTAATTATTGAAAGAGTGTGTGAGTGATAATGAAGGCTGTGGAAGTGTTTCTGACTGATAAGGAAGAGTCTTATGTAAGTGTGTGTGACCAGTAAGTCTTATGTAAGTGTATGTGACTAGAAAGTGTGCAAAAGTTCCAAAAACAAGAGTGGCTTATTGTTTGTCCAAACAAGACGAGAAAGCAAGAGATGGGGAAACAAGCAACTATTATGATCAACACTCACACATAAACGCCTTCAGCAGCAGTTTTCGCAACAACGCCAATCATCCTAAACAAACACACACACACACATGCTCTTCGTTACCCCATCTCCAACGGCGAAAGACCGTCCAGGAAGATCCATCATAACCATCACACACACCATTAAAAGTTTGCCAGCACTATCACCCGCGTCACTATCACCGGAGCGTCATCAGTAAAAATTGTATATAAGTTGCAGTCTAAGGTTCTGAGGAGTTAGCTCAACATCAACCACGGCTGAGATCATACAGATGCTGTGGAGGCTACCTAGCTCTCCTGTGGGAAGAACACGGGCTTGAATTTGATAGTGGGAGGCTGGCAAGATCTGGACACTTAGTGCTTGTAAGCAGGTTAATACGCTTGTTTTAATCAAGGACTTCATCGCTTCAGGAGGCTTCAGACGTCTTGGCTAAGAGTGACTCCGTCAGATCACACATCTCCACGCACGTTTCGACCCATCTTTGGCCATAATAACACTATGAAAATGATATTAAAAGTAACTATATATATATATATATATATACCTGTTTATAACATGTGAAGATAATATACCTTGTATATATTTTACTATGAATTTAAACATGTAGGCTTTTACTTCGATGGGTTATGAGAGAACTAGGAAACTCGTCAATCCGGATTAGCTTACAAATATGTTGTATTTATCACAAACTCAACACAAATATATTTATTAAAATTGAATAGTTAAATTCAGTTACTATTTTTCCCAGGTGGTGATGATATTGGTCGTTGTGGGA